CTACATTTTGAAGAACGAATTGACCCCGCCGATGATACAAGCTCGGAGTAAGTTGTTTAGTGTTATATAATTCCTTTTCTGATCATAGAGCTCAAATTAATTTTCAGACTATATTTTGCCTAGTTTTGACATAGGAAATATTACCTATACGCTCATGTAAACTTTTTGAATAACTGCTTAGGTTATAATGATTTAGTGAAATATATCGATCCGCAAGTTTTGTTTGAGTACTTCAGTGGTCTAGTGGCAGATCTTTTGCCAAGCGTGTCAGAGGTTACGGGTTCTAATCCGCCCTCTGTATAGTTTTTTTTCCCCTCATCAAAACCGAATATGTTCATCAGTGGTTACAGTCTATATCAAGCAGTTGTGTGCCTTTTATTTTGTGATTTCACCGGAATGAATAGTGTCCGCCGCAACGGCGATAGATTGAAGAGCGCGTCCGAGTGAAGACTGCGCGCACGCCGCCACAAGAGAACACTGTATCCATGACACTGATAGCAGCGGACACGAGCGCTTAGCTTGAGTTCAAAAACAAAACATTTTAGCGCTAGATCTCTTATTTAAAAGCGGACTAAATGAATGCTCTGCTAGTTAACTAGAGATGTTTTATTTGTATTAGGTACATCCGTGCCTCAATGTTTCCAAAAGTGGTGGGTACAAAATGACTCATGACGAAATCTGGTGGGGACGCGTACCCACCGCCCCCACCGAAATCGACGCCTATGCAAATATGTGATACCGTCTAAATACAATATATTTTTTATATATAAATGTTCAGTTTTGGTTAGTCTATTACCCAGGCTGCCAAGGCAACTGCAAAAGGCTGCAAATATAAATGGACAGATGTCAGCATCAGTGAGATGTACCACTAACCATCAGCCTTCAGAAATCATTCTGATATGATTTTTTTTTAAATCAATGTTGGAAACAGTTGTGCTGCTTATTTTTTTTAACCTGTAATAGTTTTTTTTAGGATTCTTTGAATACATTTTTTTTTTATAAAAAAACAAAACAAGTTTGGTCTATTTATGTTTGTTTTTTTGAAAGGATGTGTTAAGTGATAGGAATGACTTTAAGTCTTTACGTTCTTAGGAAAGATTTCTATTTTGAATAAATGCTGTTCTTTTTAACTTTTTATTCATCAGTGAATCATTCTTAGTTCAGGCTGCCTCACAGCACCTTGATGGGCCATTGGGGGAGTGTCTTTAGTCTTCCCACCCAGGTGTAAATCACATTAATATTCATGGCCATTCACACTCCCACGCATACAGCAGTGCTGACCAAAAACTGACGTAAGAAATTTAAATAGTTATATTGTTGTTTGTGAAAGAGTGGTCAGAATGATTTTCACTTCATTTTGAAGTAAAAATTCTAGCCTACAAGAATAGTAACTCAAAAGTCTTGTGGACAACTATTCAGTATGTGTTAAATGGCCTTATTGCGGTGACATTTTTTTTCCCAAAACGTACTAACCACGCATAATATTTTTTTTCTATAAAATGCAAACATGTACATCCATTTTGCTCACATATTAATGTAGCAGAGTTTGTGCAGAGTTTACAGCAAATTTATATGTTGGCAAATGGTATGATTTAAGTAGCTGAAATAACCACAAATGTCAGGGCATGTCAAAACATCTCAAGGGCCCCAAAAACACCTCAGACCCCAGAGGGTTAATTATAGGTAAAAAAAAAAACGAAAGTGTAATGCCCATGGCTAGACAAGCCTAACTTACATGAAAAAAAAATACGTTAACTTTCTGGCTCGTAAGTTAGCTAAACTGAAGGGTTCTACGAGCTGAGCGGACTATAAATATCTCCGGTTGCTAAATAAACCGTCAGGCGTAACCAGGGAAACCAAGTTATTGTTTGTACCTGACAATGGGCACCTCGTCGGGCATTAACCCTTACTTGTACAACATAGCAAGAATAAGCAGATCAACAGACAATCTGGTGGAGAGGAAGGAGCAAGAGAGTGGTGCTTCAAAATCAAATATTTTGAAGTTTTTGAATCAAAAACTGAATATAACAAAAGCCCATTTAACTAAAGTTAAAGAACTAAACTAACTATCAACAAAAGATGTAGAAAGAAACAGCTTCAGCGTATGAGATGCTATAACTAAACTATACTAACTAAACAAACAAAAACGTACATAATTAGCACCACTCCTAACACTAGTGCGTCTAATACATTTCATAGAAAACTACGTGTGCAAATGTAGGTCGCAACCTGCTTACCTGACTCACAACTTTTCCCGCCAGTCTACACAGTGTTGGACGGTGAACTGAGATGAAGATTTCATGAGAGCAACAAACATTTAGCAGTGCACATCAAGCATGTATCAAGAGCATAAACACATTCGAGCACAAGCAAACAAAAGAGAACTCATCTAACTGCCAGATCATAAAAGCAGCGAACCCCAGACATCAATCAGTCTCTCAGACTGGTCTCTCGAACGAGAAAACCATCTTCACAGAGTGTGCATACTCTTTCCCAACCCAGAGTCTATCTTGACTGTCACCACTGAAGTTAGAGACATTCATAAACTGCACGGCGACAGGCGATTGGTGGCGCGATTCTAGATGTCAGCAGATTGACAGGCGGAGTCTCCAATCGAGTTTCACACCTGAAACAAACAAAGTACACGGACACACACGCATATGCAGCAACATACGCAAGAAACAAAATTACATAGCGCGGCGTACATAACATTTACTCTTATCTGTATGACCAAAAACGACGGAGTATTTTAAGTTAAGTTTAAGCAGTAAGCGCACTCTCCACACAAACACAGATATGGGCCTAATAATAACGCACATTTATCTAGGTTAACATTAGAGCGAGCGGACTTGTAAAGTTGTTACTACTTGCATGTTTCAAGTGATAAGCCATATTTGAGGCAGATGAATGATAGGCGAATGTTTGGATTTCCTGCCGTTAACGATCTGTCCGTCACAGCCTGCATGATTTTCTTCCACTTCCTGTGGAGTTTTTTTTTTTTCTGCGACTAACCGACTAATACAATCTTGGTCGACCAAGCCTCTTCTAGTCGACTAACGGTTAGTCGACTATTAGGGGTAAGCCCTAATATGATTTTTTTTTTTCGTAGCTAGGCGGCGCCAGCGGACGGTGTACACCGGTTTAGAGGGACGACTCAGCATTTGTTAAGAGTTCATCAAAATGGTTATATGCATTAAAAAGCTGAGTGTCTAAGCTTTAAAATTATACCCATTTTGTGTTATTCCATTCAGTGGTTGCCTAGTAATTTGATTGACTTTTTCCGCTGGGGTGGCTGTACTGCCGGCGGTACACTTCAGGCTTAAAGGGTCATGAAACCCTAAACCAAATTTTCTGAGATTTTAACAGAGGTATGTGTGTTGAACAACATTGAAGACAATGTTAGCATCTGTTAGATTTAATAGTAGGGCGAAAATGGTTAAATTTTAGTTTTTTCCAGCTATTTTCGTCTTCCGGGTTTAAAATCTTCATCGCAGGCTGTGACGTGGCAGTGCACAGTGTAGTGCGTTGATGACTCATCGGTCTCTCATAATTATTAATGAGACTGAGTTTTTATATCCTATGAGAAGACACGGTCTCTTAATTATTCATGACACCACGTGGATCTTTCCACAGACATGTCAAACTGTGATATCGCGTAGTAAAGGAGAGAGACCATCATGGGACGCAAGTGCCGCAAACATTTTACCCGAGAGAGCTTCGAGAATTGGAGAATGGTGGACTTCGGCCTTGTCGATGACCAATGCAAGTTACGTCTTGCGAGTAATGCGGTACCAAGTCCTGAGGACTTTTCTATCCCTTCAGAGTGTGTGTCTAAAATGTAACCCTGGTCATTTTACTTGCATTTTGTTAAATAAGCGGTCGTTATGAACATTTTAGATATTTCGATAATATATCAATTGTATGCTTTTAAGGTCACTCAGTCTTAACTTTCATTTTTATTCAGAACATTCAGATTTGTGCATATATTTAAAATCTGATATCTGATAATGTGGCTGTGGCCTTTATATCAAGGTATTTATGAGGAATAAAATGGATGTATCAATTTTCTTTGTTTTAACAGTGAGCAGCCTGAGGTTATGATCATTGGCTCACTCCACCAGCCTACAGAAAGCCGAGTCTTTTACCTTAAATGTGGATGGCTCTATTCTGGAGTTCCAAACAATACTCAATTTGAGAGTGATATTTGATGCTAATTTAACATATTTATCCTCATGTCCAGAATACTGTTAAAAAAATAATCTTAGAAACATTGAACAACATATTGTTCCGCTGTAGCATTATGTTTACCAACAAATCAATGCCTTATATATATGAAAGAGTGTTGATAAGGTACACAACAGTATTTTTACATTTAGGGTAACATGGTGAGTTAGAAATGTTCATACTTAGTGTGTGTCAACTGCTACGTAAACTAATGTAAGTACAGTAAGTTAACTTTACAAAACAGTAAAGCTATTTACAGGCATTGTTCATGGTTTGTTCATGTTATTAACTAATGTTAACTAACCGTGCTGTTAATGTGAATTGATGCATTAGTACATGTGTGAGTTAACGTTAACAAATATTAACTAATGCTGAACAGAGGTGTTGTTCATGGTTAGTTCATGTTAACTAATGCATTAACTAATGTTAACTAACTGTGCTGTTAATGTGAATTGATGCATTAGTACATGTGTGAGTTAACGTTAACAAATATTAACTAATGCTGAACAGAGATGTTGTTCATGGTTAGTTCATGTTAACTAATGCATTAACTAATGTTAACTAATGGAATCTTATTGTAAAGTGTTGTGTTTTTAATTTTTCCATTAAAACTCACTTTTTTAGGGTCACTTTTATTTGATTACTTTGTAACTGTTTTTATTTTATACTCTCTTCTTCTTGAATTGTTTTGATAGCATGCTTTTTCATTTTGTATTGTGTATCAGAATGCATTTCTCTTTCATGAATGCATTTTTCTTATATGAATCTATTCCCAGATCCCCAGATCCTGCATCAAGTCATCTTGCTCTCGATCTTCCCGAACCAGACTCCAACAGACAGCCAGAAGAGAGACCCATTCCTGTAAGACATCAACCAGTGAGAGCACACACACACACACACACACACACACACACACACACACACACACACACACACACACACACAAACTGCCATTATCTGGCTAATCTTTATCCAAAGCGACCTACAAATTAGAACAATAGAAGCAATCAAACCAACAAGAGGGCAACAGTATGTTGGTCTAATATGAGGTGCCCCTAGGGACATTATTCAGAATTACCTTGCATATACATGTACTTTTCCTCTCACATACACATATGAAACCAAATTCATTCACATACTATAATGAAATGCTCACACACATACAAGAGAAATGCTTTGACAACCACAACTGAAACGCTCTCATACATACAACTGAAAATATTACGCTCACACACACAACTGAAATGCTCTCATACATACAACTGAAAATATTATGCTCACACACATAACTGAAACACTCACACACACACAACTGAAATGCTCACACACATACAAGTGAAATGCTTTTACAAACACAACTGAAACGCTCTCATACACAGGCCCGCCGACAGGGGGGGACAAACGGGTCTGTTGTCCCGGGCCCAGGGTAGGGAGGGGGGCCCAGAACCCTCATTAAATTATGGAATAATTGTAAAAAAAAAAAAAAAATAGGCATATTTGTTGAAAAAATATCTAATATTTGAGTTACATAAAAGCTTTTTATTCGTTTTCTTCCTAATTGTCCTTGAAATAGTGGTCAAGAACCCCCCCGCCCCCCAAACAAAAATGGTTTGGCCACTGATCGAAATATGATGTTGTCATTTGATTTGAAGTTCAGTAGGCTAGCGTTACGCTCAAAATGTCAGCACAAGTCCGGTGCTCAGAAAAGAAAAGAGAAGAAGAAAATAGAGGCCTTCGAGATGCCCTAAACAAATATTTTTAAAAAGGTGGTGACGGTGAAGCTGGAACTAACGTTAGTAAAGTCAACGTTGAGCAAGGTAAGAAACAGCGCAGCCAACGTTTATGAGTGTTGTCAAAGACCCGGCACTTCGGTACCAAGTCGGTACAAATTTCTTTTTAAACGTCACGCCACGGTACCAGGTTTTCTCAAACCCGGGATGCGCGTGCATGCCTAAAGCGCGTGCAGTTGCGTCCTCTTCATAAAAGCGCTGAGACATGGCGACCGGGGGTGCTGCTGCTGTGGTGGCTGTATGCTGTAAATCCACTTGTTGATAAGAAAGGAGGAAAGAGCCACATATGGAAATATTTTGGATATTAGCTCATAATAGCGACGCGGCGCGCTCGTTTTTACAGGCGCGCCTAAGTTCATTGTTGCATAGCAACGACAGACGCCACAGGAGAAAAAACGCTTGTGGAAAGGAGAAAGCGGTGCGAACTGCGCTCTCCATGATGACGAGGAAGTATTAGCAAAGAATTCATTGATTTCTAGCCCTTGGATTAGCTTTAGCAGTACTACTATTTATGGAGATGAGAAATAAAAAGCCGGCTGAAATGCATCACTGTCATCATCGGTGAACAGATAATGGGTCAGATCCGAGTCTATTTTTGCTGTGCTGCTCATGCTTAAAAGTGAAAGCACACTTTTGATGGACAAAAAATAAATATGATTTCACACAAAAAGTGCCCAAAATGCACAGATTATGCATGTCTAGTGTGTTTTAACAAGAACTGCAGTAGGCTATGTCAGAAAAGAAAATGAAGACATTTATAGAAAATGTACCCATTTAAACGTGTTTTTATTATTCATTTTGGGTAAAAGTATATGGTGTTTTATAAAAAATAAAAAAAATCGGGGGGGGGGGGGGGGGGGAGTTCATGAATGAACTCTCATTCATACAACTGAAAATATTACGCTCACACACACAACTGAAATGCTCACACACATACAAGTGAAATGCTTTTACAAACACAACTGAAACGCTCTCATACATACAACTGAAAATATTACGCTCACACACACAACTGAAATGCTCACACACATACAAGTGAAATGCTTTTACAAACACAACTGAAACGCTCACATACATACAACTGAAAATATTACGCTCACACACACACACAACTGAAACGCTCACACACACACAACTGAAATGCTCACACACATACAAGTGAAATGCTCTCACACACACAAGTGAAATGCTCACACACATACAAGTGAAATGCTTTTACAAACACAACTGAAACGCTCTCACTCACACAACTGAAAATCATTTCAGTATGTTATATGCAAGCATTTCAGTATGTTGTATGCAAGCATTTCAGTATGTTGTATGCAAGCATTTCAGTATGTTGTATGCAAGCATTTCAGTTGAAACGGAAGCACATTTCAGTTGAAACGGAAGGTGGTTAGAGTCCCCGCCCACTCCAGCAGGGTTGCCAGATGCCAAGGTTTTCCATCACAAAACCTCGCCAAAAACTGAGAGAATGCACAAAAAAACGCCCAAATTTGTTTTGGCTTGTTTCTCGTTTAAACACAGTGAAATCATTAACAAGCTTTAAAATTACCCATGGTCCGTGTACTTTTGCGTCCATTCGTTTTTCCCTTTTTAACCCGTAATTGAAAAACGAAAAATGGTTGTTGTAGGCCCTATTTTTAAAACGCAAAGTTGAACACCAAAATTTGAGTTTGAACTGTATACACCAAATGCTACACAAAAAAATAAATGTTGAAGTATTTTCCTATTTTTTGTATGTGACTTTTTGCCCCTTTATTAAACATTTAAAATATTCACAAATTAAAATGCTGAATGAAAAGAGCCATAGCCTACTCTCAAACCATACAGAGAGGTGATTTAGGCTATAGGTGATTTATAATCTGAAAAAATAACGAGGCTATACCTCCATCTCCGCTGTAAGGATGGGCCTTTAGAGAGAAATTCATATGGATTACATTATCAGACGGTATTTGCTTTCGATTCGAATTGGTTCTTTAAAAGTGGACATTTCAAGCTTTAGGCTATATTTTGTTTCAGTTCATTTTTGAGACGCGATCCAGTTCACGGAGACCATGAAAGCTCGCCTGATTGTTTTATTTTATTTTACAAAAGCACAACGTTTTCTTGTTATTGTGAGTTTACACAAATAAAAGTAGTTGCGAATGATGTATTATTATTTTCTGTATGACCAGAAATTATAGAGTATTTTAAGTTGTTTCCACTGCTGATAGGAAAACGCAAGTGTTCGCGCCTCCGTGCCATGCTCCACACTTGCACAAACCCTTGGATAAGCGTCACAATCTTGTGTTTATTTGTAATAATCTTAGCCCTGTATTATTATTGTCTAACCTGTATTATGACTGACATTTGACGAATGCTTTGTTCCTTTTTTGGATAAAACCGTCTTCTAGCCTAAATGTAGGATAATAATAATAATAATAATAATGGCAATTATTATTTGCGGTTATAACTATAAATGAGTTCACTTAAGACAGTAATTATGTTTATCATAAAATAATTTATTAATGTTTTATTTTTTATATAACCTAACATTTTACAGTTTTTGAAATGTTTATGTTTTGTTTATTTTTTATATGTGAAGTCTTTTTTTTATTATTATTATTATATTATACTGAGCTTTTTCCTCCCCCCCCCAAAAAAATGACTTTAAAGATACAAGTAAATGTTGTTTTTTAGAAAATTCAAGAAATTACCAATTATCAAATGTCAGTCATAATACAGGTTAGACAATAATAATACAGGGCTAAGATTATTACAAATAAACACAAGATTGTGACGCTTATCCAAGGGTTTGTGCGAGTGTGGAGCGCGCACTGCATGGCACGGAGGCGCGAACACTTGCGTTTTCCTATCAGCAGTGGAAACAACTTAAAATACTCTATAATTTCTGGTCATACAGAAAATAATAATACATCATTCGCAACTACTTTTATTTGTGTAAACTCACAATAACAAGAAAATGTTGTGCTTTTGTAAAATAAAATAAAACAATCAGGCGAGCTTTCATGGTCTCCGTGAACTGGATCGCGTCTCAAAAATGAACTGAAACAAAATATAGCCTATGTAGGCTAAAGCTTGAAATGTCCACTTTTAAAGAACCAATTCGAATCGAAAGCAAATACCGTCTGATAATGTAATCCATATGAATTTCTCTCTAAAGGCCCATCCTTACAGCGGAGATGGAGGTATAGCCTCGTTATTTTTTCAGATTATAAATCACCTATAGCCTAAATCACCTCTCTGTATGGTTTGAGAGTAGGCTATGGCTCTTTTCATTCAGCACTGCGGGAAAAATTTCATTTCCTGGTTTGGCCTTAGTTAGAAAACCAGTAAAATCAATTTTTTGCATTTTAATTTGTGAATATTTTAAATGTTTAATAAAGGGGCAAAAAGTCACATACAAAAATCGGAAAATACTTCAACATTTATTTTTTTGTGTAGCATTTGGTGTATACAGTTCAAACTCAAATTTTGGTGTTCAACTTTGCGTTTTAAAAATAGGGCCTACAACAACCATTTTTCGTTTTTCAATTACGGGTTAAAAAGGGAAAAACGAATGGACGCAAAAGTACACGGACCATGGGTAATTTTAAAGCTTGTTAATGATTTCACTGTGTTTAAACGAGAAACAAGCCAAAACAAATTTGGGCGTTTTTTTGTGCATTCTCAGTTTTTGGCGAGGTTTTGTGATGGAAAACCTTGGCATCTGGCAACCCTGCTGGAGTGGGCGGGGACTCTAACCACCTTCCGTTTCAACTGAAATGTGCTTCCGTTTCAACTGAAATGCTTGCATACAACATACTGAAATGCTTGCATACAACATACTGAAATGCTTGCATATAACATACTGAAATGATTTTCAGTTGTGTGAGTGAGAGCGTTTCAGTTGTGTTTGTAAAAGCATTTCACTTGTATGTGTGTGAGCGTAATATTTTCAGTTGTATGTATGAGAGCGTTTCAGTTGTGTTTGTAAAAGCATTTCACTTGTATGTGTGTGAGCATTTCAGTTGTGTGTGTGAGCGTAATATTTTCAGTTGTATGTATGAGAGCGTTTCAGTTGTGTTT